TATGTATGTAAAAGAAAGAAAAGATCATTAAGTTGTCTGTAATTGTTTGATGACTGAAGTCAGTCACCAATGAATACCTTTAAACATCTGTTTTGCATAAAAAGGAGAACATTATTAAGTTCTCTGTAATTGTTTGATGGCTGAAGTTTGTCACCATTGAATTCCTTCATACATCCTTTTTGCATAAGAGAAAGTAGCTGACATAGTTCTGGGTACAATTAGAAACATGAAAGCTAAAACCGCAGATCATGATATGAACTTAAATAAGAAAATTCTTTGACTTTCTTATAAAAGACATGTACAATGTAAAGATCTATGGTTTTTGTAATGTAAAGATGTACATTTACCTGTTTTACATGAATAATATGATGAAATCAAAAGCTGCTGACAGTTTTTTCAAATTGAAATTCCTAATGAAGACAAAATTTTCCCAGCTGGTTGGTCTCTTCATCTCTGAATGAAACATACCACATGCAAAAACCATAACAAGCTCTCTAATTCTTCCTTCCCTGTACACTTCCCTTAGTGGTTTATGTGAATCATATTGGGATGAAAGTACTAAAGTTTCTCCCTTTTGATGTTTAAGAGGTATCGATGGAATTTACATTTTCTAAATATCTGATCAATTCATCTGCGCACCAAATCTTCCATTTACAAAATTATTGGAAACCTCATGATTTTTCATCTCATATTTTAAACCATTCGTTTTAAGGATGTTCTGCTTGCAGATATAGCTAGTGTATGTTTTCTTTAAGAAAATTATCTGAAGGAAAAAATATTCTCCTTTTCAGGTCTGCTTACATATTGAAGCAAGAGAGCCTGCCCTCATCTTATAAATCCTTTCTGAACAAACATGGGGGAAAGGATGCTGTTATCCTCCAAGGAGTTAGAGATATTGCATGTGGCCTCCCTTTCTCAAATCTGGATGCCATAGAAAAGCATTACAAGTCAACTGGTATTGACATCACATTGGATCCCAAAATGAAAGTTCCTTGCTCGGTAGGTAATTTTAGTTAACATCGAGTTGGTAGAGGTTAAATTGTTACTAGGCTTGTAAGTTAGGAAGTATCTGAGGCAGTAGAGCTTTTACAACTAGTCTGCATGATAAATGTGTTAACGGAGAGCTTTATGACAACTTAAGAGGTTAAAGTAGTTTTGATTAAGTATACAAGTACTAGATTCTTCATACTCAAGAAACATTGTACTAAACTACTAATAGAGTTTACCAAACCAATATGAGAATATATGATCTTGGACTAAATCGGAGAACTAGTGGGCCATCATTATCACAAAATAATAGAACCAGCAGTGAGAATTGCTATGCCATAAGTGGAATAAAAGTGATTAGTCTATTACATGTTAAAGTATCACCTAAAAGATTGAAGTGAAAAGTTAGTGTTGAATTTCGGCACATTTGCTTCAGACAATTAATCAATGAAAAGTTACACTATTGTAATGCCTTCTATAGAGATTTTAGTTTTTGAATAATAAAAAGAAGAAGACAATTCATATGGCTGACCTTAGATCATATGGAATCAAGGCAGTTTATCTGAATAAAATCTGGAAAAGCTTATGTATCTAATACTCTTTATCATGCAAAAGCCGTTTGTGCCATCTATATTGTCAACATATTCAAGTTTGTCAATAGACATAGAGCATTAATGAACATGAAGTCAGCATTTGCTTTTAGTGCTGTATAGGCTCCCTGTAAAGTGTGTCCAACAGGTAAAACAGTCTATCGCAATAGTTGCATGGCTTTTCAAGTCTCACCTGATGTCGAAGGCAGGAATAAGGTGCAATGTGAAGCATGTACCATAAAACTCTGGTAATAGTTTCAATGCTGTCTCATGGTTCAGAAGAACTTTGTATGACTGATGGAAGATTGACTACAGCTAGCTTAACTTGAATGACTTAACTGGGTCTATTAAATATTTTACGTATTGCTCAACTTTGAGGAAAGAATTAATGATTGCATGATTGAGAAATATCCGTAGTTGGTAAAATAGACCTCTCAACCCCTAGTTGATCCTCCTTGATCAGGCAAACAGTACTTTTGGTATTCTCTCAGCGTGGATTTCTGATGCTTGAGTACTATATATATTTTTCCTCTGGCTGTAAACCTTGGTTCTTTAGATCTGATTAAATCTTTCTCTATTAACACTGGTTTGTCAGCTTGTTCTTTACATTGCACACTTTTTGATGCATGCAGATAGTACATGGTAAACAAGCATGTGAAGCGCATTTTGTTTCATTTCTTTTACAAGCCTATAAAAGAGCACTACCCGTGTATCTTCCAGTCTATCTATTTCCTGCATTGATAGTGCATCGCCAAGGCCTCCTGAAGAGGTATAGTATTTTTGCTTAAGTTCCTTATTTTCTAATTTTTCTCTTTTTTTAAAGCTTGTGCATGTCCATTTTTTGAAATTTAATCAATGACAAATGACAAAACCTGTTAAATAGGCCATATCATTATTTTGTCCATAGCCTTGGGGCTAGGGTCACCATCTGAAGGTCAATTTATGTACTGGTCAATAAGGATCTGGATACGCTTGGACAATTTATAGTGACTGCTTTTAATACACTGTTTCTTACTAGTTTGTTTTACTATTGAATTCCAGATTTTGGGAGCAAATCATGCATTAGAGCCTTTACTTTTAATATTTTGTTGATTGGAGATCTTATTGTAGTTGTCCTGAACAAGTTAGCCAGAACTTGTGATCGCATGGATTGTTGTTCTTTTAATTCTGGTAGCTTTGATATCTTTTCGGCTATGAGCTCTAATATCGTATTTGAATTTTCGCAGACCTTTTTCAATATTGGCAAGAGGCCTCCTTGGTACTTTCAGATCAAGCTTGTTTCTCTCGACGTATTGTGCATCTGCATGGTAAGCACAAATTTGTTCATATTTGTAGCATAGATGATCTTTGCATACTTCTGCCTGCTTCAAGGAATGCTCAAACCAAGTATTCTTATTTGTATAATACTAAATGACTCAACGTGTATATCTACCTTTGTTTTAGCTCAATAACACGGTGATCTGTCAAAACTTACTGTAGTTGGAATTGATTTATCTCAATACCTTGTACCTGTGTGAGCCATACTACTAAATGCTATCTATAAAGTAGCTAGTGGTGTCATTGTCCTCCGCTCCTTGACCTTGGATTCTGGCAAACGTTCCCAACTCTTCTACATATATATGCTTATGTTGCTCTCCTCATGCCTATGCATGTGTATAACTTTCCCTGGTTGGCTATAGACCTTCTGAGTAACATCAAAAACGAAATTATAACAACAGAAGTTGGTACTGTACTTGCAAATACGGGTTGACCTGATGCGAAATTCTCCTCTTGCAACTCAGTATGATACTTTTAGGTGCTAAGTTGACAATCTGAAGAGATTTTCCTTCTACTCATCTCAGGCTTCCTCCCTGTCCCTGCACCTCCCTTTCAGAGAACATTTAGAAAAAGAAGGAAAAGGTCGCAGTGCAAAATAAATTGATGAAGGAAAACAATGAAAGATCAATGAATGTTCTTGTGTTTCAATGTTGAAATTAATGTGCCAATATGGTGTGTTAGAACTGTGTTTATTTTCTTTAGATTAGTGAACACTTATATGTAACTAAGTCATCATGTTACTTATTTTTGGTAGGATGTGGACATGCCTACTCTTCAGGCTTCTCAAAAGATGCAATGTTCCTATGGTGGCGATGGGAACGGTGAAATGACTATTTCTGACTGTTCCTTGAATAGATATTGCTTATATAACCTGTTTATAACTTATTATTATGATCTTGGGCAGTTTCCTACCGGTCTGGCGTTGGCAATTGAGAAAAAGAGCAGGCGGATAGAGATAGCACTATATTGCATGGCGAGGGCCATTGAAAGTTTCTTCACATGCATGGCTGATGTAGGATATTTGCCTCAGTCGAAGAAATTGAAGAGAGCTGATGTAGTTGTTTTCAGTATCTCAACAGCTATAATCATGCACTGCTATGCAGTAGAGAGGGATGTTTTTCGATCAAAGTATTTGAATGTTCTTGATTGGGTGTTTGGTGTTCCTCTTCCTCCCTATGAAACTACTCCACGTAAGAAGAGGTGACCGGGGGAATGCAGCGCGGGCATATTAAGTTGTTCAATTTTATTGATCTCCATTTCTCTCCTCAGATTAAGCAGGCTGACGTTTGTATTAGAATTATTTTACAGCAGTCTGGAGCTCTTTGTTGATACAGAATACCTCTACCAAGAAAAAACTGCCCAGGCTTGTTAGATTATTTTCACCGAAAGGTTTGTTAGATTATTTTCACCAGCCGTTTCCTTGATCACTTTGTATTCCTTCATCCTTATTGTTGCTCGTCCGTTGAACAATCTGTATTATTTTTCAAAGGAAAACCTCAATCTTTATGACAGACAGAGTTGCTACAAAATATGCCGCAATCCAAATTATTCTGGCACTCTTGGTTATCATGTTCTTCTCGCCATTTTAGTCTTCTGCAGTCTCCTGGTGAAGAAAGAAGACAACATCAGTAGTGGAGACGCCAGTCTTCAACACGTCCCACGTTATTTGTTTGTTTTGGCCAACACCTGAAACAAAAACAAAGTCGTTCTTGCTCATGAAAGTTCTCCAGAGGACCTCCTAAAACCTTCTAATTTCACGAGTTTTCTTCTGGGGAGATTCCTTTTTTTTTTTTTTGGGGGCATGTTCTATTGTTGGTCTCAATCGAGACTGGGATAAATTAACCTAGGTCATCAAATTGTTAAATTCTCTTTCATTTAACACTCCCAGTCTCAGCTATGTCATCACTGAAATGAAACCAACTAAATCTGCTGATCATTAGCATAAAATAGCAAGTACTCGAGAGCCTGAAATTTCTTTCCGACCCAGAAAAGAAAAAAAAGTTTCTGCTGCAAGAAAATTTCAAAATACTGATAAATTTCTATAATGAGTTCCAATTCTTTTGTTCTCCGTATCATGAAACTGTTGCTTCACACAGACTATTTGGCATTTAATTACTCAACAATTAAACCCGTACTCTCAGAAAACAAAAGATTATTAAATATTAATATTTGCTAAACAGGAGAATGGATCACAAAAGACTTGGATGAAGAAGGATTCCCAGCAAAAGAGGCTACAAATTCTCCATCAATAACATCATTACACCAATTACATCTCATAATCCAAAGTCCCTTAAACCCTGATCCCCTGTCATCAAAGACAGATCCAAAAAAATCAGACCTCATCCTCATGGAGGAGCATATTAGGAACCCCTTTATTAACAGGAAACTTGCGACCAGTTTGAGGGCAAACCAAAGTACCCTCTTCCAAATGAAGCTCCATTAAGGCATGGTGAAACTTCCGAAGAAAATCATCAGATTCCAACATGGACGGCTCGGCGTGGTCGGGCAACTCCGCATAGCCCATGATTCTGGAAGCTTCCACGAGGGCTTTGTACTCAATCTTGGCAAGCATGTTCTTGAGGAAATCGGGGTTGAAATCCACTGACTTCTCCACCACTTTCTCCACTTCAATCCTTAGGGGAAACCCATTCGTTACACCCTTGATGTTTGATGAAAGCATGTTATGGGTTAATAGCCTCATCTCTAGTGTGGAGGGTTTTTCTTTCTTGTACTTTTCTGTTGCAGGGTGGCGTCCTGCAGGGGAATTTTTTTCAAGAAGCGGAGGAAGGAGGAGGACGAAGACGAGGAGGTCAAGGACTTTATATGCCGAAGGAAGGGCTGGCAATTTGGAGGCGGGGGAAGGGACTGGAGGAGTGGCTCTTCTGCATGAGTTTACATTTTTAACCTTATTCTCTCCCTCAGTGGCAGCTTCTATGCGTTTCTGAAACCTCTCTAAATCGAAAGTCCACTAAGCACTCCTTAATCAAATCCAATAGGGGAATCAATAATGTTTTAATCTTTGGGAAGAAAACATAAAGAAAGAAAATTAGAGCCTGTTGGGATTGTAATTTTTTGAGAGATTTTGTAGAAAAATATACTGTGTCACTCTTTCTAAAATGTAATGTTTGTGAGATCTTAGTTTGTTTTGATAGAGTATTATTTGGAATAATTATCGTATCATTTTTTGTGATGTGATGTATGCGAGATAAAAAAGGTGGTTGAGAATATAAAAAGGTGGATTAGAAAATGTGTTTATGATGCAAGCGAACTATTATTTGGGATAATTTGCTATCCAAACACTCATATAATTAAAAAAATGTAATAAGGACTATTTTCATGGACATTTATGAAAATTTTTCTGCAAAAAATTACGTGGTAGTTAATTTTTGGTAAGAATTCCCTCCAACCTTATTTTGTTAACTTTAAAATTAAAAATAAGCGATGTTGCATCGAGAGAAATGAGGAGTACAATTTTTCTAGAGATTCTAAAAATTTGAAAAGCATTTCTTAATTCAAGAGCATTAATTTGGGAGAGCTAAAATTAAGGTTGACTTTTTCCTGAATCCTAAAATAAACTATCTAGCATCTATTGAAAGATGTGTTGGGTTGTCAATTGGATTATGTGAGTTGAGTTTGAATATCATTTTTTCGAACTCAATTTCACTTTAGTTAGGCTCATATTTTTAAAACTCATACTCGGTCCACCAAAAAAGTCGAGTGCAGGTCCTAGTTGGGGCAGACCCAAACTCACTTCATATATTTTTCATATTCACAAAATTTAGTTAAACCGAACAACTAGCTTATCAAAAAATGTTCTATAAAAAGTTAAAATATCTGTAAAAGTTTGAATTTCATGATAAAAAATAGTATGGTTTACCATAACATCTATACACCTACCAACTACATATTGAAAAAAAACATTTATCATAAAATTATCCATATAAATTTCAATTTTTGGCTGAATTTAGATAAATAAATATTCTTAATTCTCACATATGAGCTCTAGTACATGTATTGTTTGGACCTAGTATTAAGTGGGTTGAGTTCAGTGTAACCCAAATTCCGCCAGACAATAATCAACTCAGCTCATACTGTATAAGGCTTAATCCGCTAAATTTAGACCCGATCGAGTTGACCTCGAGCCAACCCAATCCAATTGACAGGCCCAGAGATGGGGTGGGGGAGCACCGTCATAATTAAAGCTCTTTTTTCTATTGCTAGCTACTTTCGTTCCTCTATTTCTTTTGTATTTATTTTTCAATTTTACATGGAGGTTATCATAATTTATCACTAACTCTTAGGATCTCAATCTAATTAACCCAATTTTAAATGGATCGTTTATCTCAAGTACTTGCAAAAATAATTTCAAGGGTACATGTTCAACATTTTTTGAAAGCTAGTGAAAATTTTCTCTTCGCGCGACCGAAAAAAAAAACTAGAACAACAGAAAATAAATATGCATTATTAGTTTCTCCATATTCAAGTCTTCCCCTTGAAAGATGAGTTGAATATCATACTACAACTTAACATGTCACAGCTATTGAGCTTAATGACGAATGTCATCATAATTTAGAGATGCAGATCGATATTACAGGCAAATGAAGTGCCATTTAGTTTCCACAATTGAATTAGGTTGATACGAACATCCACCACTTGTAAAACCCAAACCCGTAAACGATCGTGTAAATGGCCACTCTGATTGGATGTATCCTAAACCTGCAGAAAAACTCATGATCCATATGAGTAATTGCACAAAAAAAAATGAATAGCAATCAAAGCAAAATCTTAATAAATGGAAGGATTGCCTGTGTATAAGCCAACATAATAGTTTATCCACACCCCAAAAAAAAACCCCATAAATAAAGGAAACGAGTTGAGATGGCTGTTTTTCTAATTTGAAGGTTTGCTTTTCTTGTCTTTTTTTTTTTTTTTCACCTTGTGTGCCTGCCTGTCAGACAAATATATATATATTCATGTTTCGTAAAACCCTAAAGTATTAGTCTCCATACATATGAGATTTTTCATTTTTGTGTACTAACATAATGGGAAAACATATGTAACCATTTACATCTGCTTAAAATTATTACTTCGTTACACCTTTGTCTTCGTGTTAATTCTTGTAGTCAGTCAAACTACATTTCAATCCTTGTACTTACACTTAATTAATAGAACAAGAGGATAATATTAACATTTAGACCCTATTTTATAATCGAATTCAACGCTTAAACTTAATAAGTTCAAATCTGTTTTATAACAAAAAATAAAACATTTGAATTAATTAAGTAACACTAAATTTACTAAATCAAAATTTTGCTCTAAACAATAAATGATAACTTATTTACTTATTATTATTTAGTACTGAACAATTTAGTAACTCAACGGATTCAAATTTCTAAATTTTAAAAATTTCAGATTTCAGTTTTATTAACCGCAACCTTAGTAATAACACAAGAAGGAATCAAAATTATTTTAAGTGGGGGTGAACATAATAGAATAGTCATGGCAGATGGGCTGTATTTTATTTCAAAATTCCTTTCTTTGCTCTTTTAGGCTGGGGAAAATCATAAGTTCTAATTCTTGAGGATTTATACGAAAAGGTCATGTTTTACCCGGTTGGTGTAGCTTGGGTGTGAACAGATCGCGGAGTTCGCTTCTCATCGACTGTTAAAGGGGTGCGCCACTGAGAGAACCTCCGGTCGAAGAATTCCCAATCAGGCAAAAGAACTCCACTGATTGCAAACATCCCCAGGATGTAAGTGACCAACATTTTCTTGAAAGATTGGGTGCACAATCCCACTAGCAACACCATTGCAGCCAACCAAGCCAGTGCTGAGCGAAAAACTGCATCATTAACCATTGTTAGTGGCAAATTATATGTCGACCTTTTCTTGATTTTATAAGCTCGATCGTGTTTTCCAGGAGTTCTACTGGTACTGGCACTCAGGGCTGCTGAATAGGGGACGAAGGTGATGAGGAAGGAGGAGATGTATTGTAAGAGGAGTTATTGAATTAGAATGTGAGGTGTTGGTTGGTTGCCCTCGAGACAGCCTACATTAATTGCTTTTGTGACAAGATGAAGAATTAGCTGAGACTTGAGACAGCCTTTTAATGAGCTATCTTAATTTCCTTCCTACGTCTAAGTGTGCTCACACACTACTCTTTCTTGGAGAACTTGATTAATTTGCATGCATGACTAGTAGCTCTATACTAATTACGTACAACATTTTGTTTTGCAAGAAATTATTTTTTAACATCATCTATACCATTCATATCTACAATTAGAAAGAATCATTCAATAATTTCATAAAACTATAGGTTGATGGACAATGTTTGAGGATAGGCAACACGATCTTTGAGTGGTCTTGACTCGTTACAAATTCATTGACAATAGGGAAATTCTTGGCTGCACAAGATTTGGAGGCGTATGTCATCTAAACGCGCTATTTGACTTGGCAACAACACGCCTATAGGGTTCGTCGTCTGATGGATGCACAAATTTGGTCAAATTCGACTCATGCCTTTACCTTTTTTTTTTCCCCTTTTTAAATCAGTTTATTGAGGGCTTTATCAATACATATTGCATTACAAACTGGGTCGACAGCAAAATCATTTTAGTTTTAGATGGAGTTCTGAAACAGGGAGTAGGAAGGGAATCCATCCTCTGAACAAGTTTCAAGAATACGCATGCCTTGTTTGGATTGCATTTTTTTGAATTTTTTTAGAAAAATTACTATAGCGATTTGATATATATAAAAAAAAAAAAAACAAAAATGTAATAACGAAAAACGACACAATTCTTCGCTCTTCTCCGCCGGCTTGCAGAAGTCCGAACTCAGAAATTGGATTAGAAGATTCACATTTCTCAATCGCGAATTGTCAGCATGGTCAAGCCCAGGGCCCGAGGCAAAAGAAACATAAGAACTGTTACCCAATTCCTTCAAATTTCGAATTTCTGCTATCAAAATGTTGAGTCTCTTTTTTTTTTTTGTCAATCAGCAACATCTATATTGTTGTATTCTACAGACTACAGAGGAGGGGGTCTAGAGAGAAGAAGGCCCATCTAGATTAAAGAGGAGTTTTGACATATTCTTTTAACTTCAAACTGTGAAATTTGAACACTTAACTTACAGTTCAATGAGATTTTTTAAATCCATTTTGATGGCCAATTTGTCTAAGATAAGTTGGTTAAATGTTCAGTAATCCACTTCGTCTTTCTTTTTGCTTTTCAATTTATGAAGCTTGATTTGCAGGAGAATGAGTACATCTCTAGAATTAAAAAAAAAAAAGAAGATATGAGTCATATATATTTTGAAAAAGGAATGGTTTTTTGCTATTATGATGAATATGCAAAGCCAAAATGTATTACTTTGGGCAATAAAACTAGGAAAAAGATGAAATTGTGTTAGGTCTGGTTCAGAAAATTGACAAATGAGAATGATATGGTTCTTGGCAACTCAATAATGACAATAACAAAACAAATAAATCAAATGAAATTTAAGTGATTTGATCCAATTGACCTACGTCCACGAATGAAGGGATAGCAGATTTACTATAACAGAAAAGAGTATAAAAGAGAGAGTACAAAACCCTAAAAAATAATTCCCAAATCCAAAAGACACCTAAAACTGAAAACACAAAAAAGTCTAAATAGTATTAAATGCTTAATAGGCCAAAGTCTTATGACATGCTCTTTTGGTTTGATGTCAAACCAAAACTCCTCTCAGATTGGGGTGTAAGTCCCTCCAAACTTTTTGGGTTGGTGCATATTACACTTGGACTGGTGCCTTCAACACAATTAAACTCACTTAAGTTTACTATATTTATAACCATCAAGAGAAGATATATTTTTTTTTATAAACTTTTGATGTGAGATGCAAAG